GTTACCAGGGGGGGGGCTGGAACAGCCGTTATCGCGGGGGATTGCAGACGCAGGCCCTATGGGATTGTCAGTATCCACCGCATTCTAAGACTTGCCTATGTTTGATTAGTGCCACCCCTTTCGCTATGCCTTCACCTTCATTCCTTGTTGTTGCACCTCCCCTCTTTTCATTCGTATTCCATAACCTGTAGCCAGACTCGGTCACACTCACACAGACGGCTCCGATTCACTCGTTTTCTGACGAATTCTTATCCGGATTCGTTCATACCACTACGCTCATACCCAGCCTCGCATCTAGACTTGTGTACATTCAGACTCGCTCACAATCCGTCAACCGTAATGTCAGCCACAGTACTAAATACAGGGAGGGGCCCCCCGTCCTCTCAGGGGGGGAAAGGCGCTCATATCGGCGAACAGATGCATTCTTCTTCCGTCCTCGGTATTGTGACCTTGAGCCAGCGTTTTGATTCCTGTTGGTTGCTATGACTCGCGTGATGTCGAGAGACGTGGCTCTGGCGACCTTAGGCCGATAAGCTCCAACGTGTTTGGTTCCGACGTTGGACACATTATTTGAACACACGCACACACTGTCGCATTTTGGCCCATCCCTATTGAATTCGTTCATCACCCAGGCGGCATGCTCGAGTTGCAGGAGGTCCCAGGAAGCCAAATGAGCCTCCAGAAGGCCGAAAAATCAATCAGAGGCCCCAGACGCCGTCCTTCGCTCATGGCCAGAGTCGCGCACATTCAGATCCGCTCATACCCACTCATTCCCAGACTCGCGCAGAATCAGTACTTCATACTCAGCGCCAACTGCATTCAGACCCACACGATCTCGGTCGCTCATGCCAAGACGTACAGTCAGTCAGACTCATTCGTGGCAAGACAGATTCACATTCTAGACGCTTCGTGTAACCTCTCCAGCCCATCCAGAAACGTAAGACGTCGTGCCCCAAGACGGGGAGGATGGAGAAGGAGCGGGAGGAGGCGAGGAGGAGGAGGAGGAGGAGGAGGAGGAGGGGGAAGGGGAGGGGGAGGGAGAGGGAGAGGGGGATGGGGGAGGAGGGACGAGGAAGGAGGAGGAGGAGCAAGCGGATGATGAGGAGGAGGATGAGGAGGAGGACAAGGAGGAGGAGGAAGAGGAGGAGGGGGAGGGGGGGCGAGCAGAAAGGGCAGAGGCCTTTTGGATGCCTCTCGGAGTCTCTACGGATGTAATTCGAGAGCTTTTTCGATGATCTTTTAAAACATCCCGGGGCCTCTTGTGGAGTCTTGGGTGCCTATGGGGTCTCTTGGAGCCTCTTGGGGGTCTCTTGGGAGCCACTTGGGGACATCTTGGGGGCACCGTGGGTGGCTCTTGGGGCCTCCTACGTAGGCACCTCGTTGGGCCGTCTTGGGCACCCTTGGGAGCCTCGGAGGCCATCTTGGGACCATCTTGGGAGAGATCGATCCAAGGAGGGGAGCTCCTTACTCGGGGGCGCCTCCCTCCCCCCAGGAGGCCAACATGCGGCCAGAACCTAAGCAAAAGCAATGATGTTGGCTTTCTCGCCGAGGCCTCTTGGGGCGTCTTGGGTGCCCCTGGGGAGCCTCGCGGGGCCCCTGGGGGGTCTCTTGGGGGCCTCGCTCCTCGGGAGCCATCTTGGCGGAGATCGATCAAAGGAGGGGGGCGCCTTGATCAGGGCCCCCCTTTCTCCCAGGAGGCCAAGCTGTGGCCGAACATCTTCGTAACATGAGTAAGTGTGGCCTCATCGCCGATACCTCTTGAGGTGTCTTGGGTTCCTCTGCGGGGCGTCTAGCCTCTTGGGTGCATCTTGGGCGCCTCTTGGGGCCTCCCGGGCACCTCTTGGGGGCCGTCTTGGGGCACCCTTGGGAGCCTCGTGGGAGCCATCTCGGGCCCACCTTGAAGGAGATCGATCCAAGGAGGGGAGCTCCTCAATGAGGCCCCCTCCTCCTCCTCCTCCTCCTCCTCCTCCTCCTCCTCCTCCTCCTCCTCCTCCTCCTCCTGGCCCGGGGGCACCCGAGTGGGCCCCCGCCCCCGGCGGAATGGGGGACCGCCCCACCCAAGGAGGCCAAGCTGTGGCTAAAACTTTCTAGTGAAATCAGTGATTTTGGCTTTCTCGCCGAGGCCATCTTGGACGCTCCAACGTTTCGCGAAACGCCCCCTCCAAACCCAGGGTGGGTAGGGGGAGGGGTCGAGACACACTCCCCTGCCCGCAAGCTGTCTCGAACACATAAGTAGCACCCAGGCCTCAGGATGTTCAGCGGACGTCTTTGGATGGACAGTTAAGGGGAACCACAGAAGATCCCATACGCGCAACGCTGGAGCGAGGTGCGCCACGCGTGCCAGGCGCGCCACGCGCGTCAATTGCGCAAGGCACCCCTGTGGCCCAAGCGTGCCAGGCACGCCTGGTGCGCCAGATGCGCCAAATGATCCACGTGCGCCATGTGTGCCGCATGCTCCAGCCGTGCTAAGTGCGCCACGTTCGGGGCACGCGCAGGGTGTGCCAGGTGCGCCTGTGCACGTGGCAGTGCACATCGGGAAACATGTCGCCCCCCACCACCCTTGTCGAAAACGCGTGAGCAATCGCGGCGGGGTGGCCATCATAGTGTCTGGTGGGCTTGCACACAGCAGGCAATCTGCCAGCACCCCCGCCGTACCAGTCAAAACCAATGCACAGTGATCGCGGGGTGCCCGCGCATGATCCAGATTTTGCCTCGAAGTGCATTGTATTGTTTTTGACAGGGATGCTGGCCCTGCGCGCAGCGGGCAATCTGTGGGCACCTGCCCAAAAACATTACAAAGTGGTTGCGGCCCCACGATCATGACCCAAGATTCTGTCCCGAAGTGAACTACACATTGTTTTTTACAGGGATGGTGTGGGGGGTCCTCATTGGTCCTGGTTGGCTGCCGGTCGCCTGGGGGAGGGGGTGTTTCTTAATAGGGAACAGTGATGAACCCCTCCCCGAAGCGGAAGAAAGGGGGTTGGAAGAAGACATTCCCCACACCATTTACGACCTAAAGGGCTGGTTGGATTCGTACCCACTCGTATTTAGTCGTTCATGCTGAGATTCGCTCATACCGCATTCTGACTCACATTCAGACCCCGTCGTACCCTGGCCACCCATACTCATATCCACGCTTTTTCCCTGAGTTGGGCCTCGATTTGAATACGCATCACCCCGCCCGCCCCACTCCTCCCTCCACCCTCTCCCTGCCTCTGCCCTCCGCATGTCCATGAAGGCACACCCCTCAAACGTTTAGTGGCCCCATAGGGAGCTCCACCGAAGGCCCCAATGGCTGCGTTGGTAAACCTTCACACCATGTCGGCACACCCCTCATGCGTTTCGTGGTCCCATAGGGAGCTCCCCCGAAGGTCCCAGTGTCTGCGTTCGCATACCTTCTCCACGCCACTTCGGCGCACCCATCACACGCTTCGTGGCCCCACGGGGAGCTCCACCCACGGCCCCAGTGTCTGCATTCGATACCTTTTCCACACCATGTCGGCGCACCCCTCGCACGCTTCGTGGCCCCATAGGGAGCTCCACCGACGGCCCCAGTGTCTGCGTTCGCATACCTTCTCCACACCGTGGTGGCGCACCTCGAAGACGCTCCGTGGCCCCATGGGGAGCTCCACCGAAGGCCTCAGTGGCTGTGTTCGTAAACCTTCTCCACACAATTCCGGTGCACCCCTCACACGTTTTGTGGCCCCACGGGGAGCTCCACCGATAGCCCCAGTGGTTGCGTTCGCATGCCTTCTCCACATCATGTCGGAGCACCCCTCACATGTGTCGTGGCCCCATGGGGGAGCTCCACTGAAGGCCCCAGTTGCAGGGCTCGCATGCGTGACCGCGCCCATTTCCGCACACGTGTCGTGGCCCCATAGGGAGCTCCACCGAAGGCTCCAGTGGCAGGACTCGCATGTGTGACCGCGCTCATTCCGGCGCACCCCTCACACGTTTCGTGGCCCTATAGGGAGCGCCACCGAAGGCCCCGCCGCTTGCTTCCCCCAAGGCCGCGCCGACAGATGCGCAAGTCGCACGTAACGGGCTACATCCAGAAGTAGCCCGCTACGGTTGACCTTTGCGACCCCATCAGTAACGTCGTTCCGCCCTTCGCACGAACGCCCAAGTCATTTGCCTATCTTCTTCCCTTAGTTTCCACTTGCATTACGGTCCTCACACTTGCATATGGTTAGGTCCTTCGCTCGATTAGTCTAGATGCGTTGGCACAATTTTCCCATGTGAAAACGCACCCAAGCTTGGACTCATGCATACCCGGACACTCGTATTCAGGTGCGATGGTGTTCAGAAGCGTTCATTGTCATATCCATTCGAGCTCATATCCACCCGTTTTCAGCCATTCATCATCAGCCAGTCTCATTTGGATCCACGCACATTCGAACTCAAGCATATGCAGTTACCCTTCCACATATACATATATATATATATAGAGATATATACATAGTCGCACCCGTATTTAATCACACCCAGGCCTACCAACACTGACACAACCATGAGCACACATTATCACGTTCGTACTCACTCTTGTTCATACTCAGTTACATTGACAGGCGCACGCATTCATACTTTTCCGAATGCAGACCAGCTAGCTCATATCCAGGCTCGGTTCCATTCAGACCATTTCAGACCTAGGCCCACTCCTACGTTGTGACTCTTACCCAGACCCAGTAACATCCAGGCCCCTTTTGTATTCACCCTCTCATAGACAGCCCTACTCGCACTCGGACTCGTTCGTATTCACACCCAGACGGTCACGAAGGAAAGCGCTAGACCAGAGGCGCAAGCATGGGTGGTTCCCGCGTCGCATAGTTCCTTTGCTGTTCGAGTATTCCACAGCCCTCTTCATCCATTCACTGGCAGGGTTCCCCCAGCTCTCCTGCCGCAGCCGTTTGGCTTCAGGCACAGATCTCTTGGCACGGGGTGGTCGGCGCGGGATTGTGATAGAGGAGCGCCTCCTGATCCAACGATTTTGGGTTTCGTTTCTTGGCGGCGAACCAAGGCACTGAGAGGAGAGAATATGGAAGAGGAGGGACATAAGGAAGAGGAGGAGGAGGAGGCGGAGGAGGAGGAGGAGGAGGAGGGCCCTCTTGGAGCGTCTTGGATGCATCGGGGGAGCTTCTGGGGCCTCTTGGGGGGCTCTTGGGAGCCTCTTGGGGACCTCCTGGGGGCCTCTCGCAGCCCCCTGGACGCCTCTTGGGACCATCTTGGGGCACTCTTGGGGGCCTCGGAGGTCATCTAGGGGCCATCTTGGAGGCGGCTGATCAAAGGATGGGGGAGTGCTTAATTAGGTTCCCCCCCAGAAGGCCCAAATCGGCCAACACCTTCAATAAAATTAATGATTTTGGCATTCTCGCCGATGCAATTTTGGACGCTCTCACTCCCCGCGACCCCCCCGTCCAGGTCCAGGTGGAGGGGGTAGGGGAAGGGGTCAAGCTACCCTCATATATAGCAGGCCGTGTAGCTCACTCCCACCCGCCCTCCCAACACATGAGTAACACCCGAGTGTCAGCAGATCGCTTAGGAACGCCGCACATGCAACGCGCCCCACGGGTTCCAGGTGCACCTGGCACTTGGTGGTGCGGCACATGCTCCACGTGAGCCAACTGTGCCATGTGCTCCAGCCGCGCCAGGTACGCCAGCTACGGGGAGTCAATAGGGAACCCAGGTGCCTGGGGCCGAATCCCTCGAAAGCGAAGTGCCGAGCATTCTGTGAGAAGGCCGGCTCTTCCAGGGAGTGCAAAGCACTGGCACTGATGGACAAATTCTGACATCTTGAGGAGTCGTGAAACAGATGAGAGCTCAGAGAAAAGAGGGCCCTGCGCATGCTCCAGATTTGGAGCCAAAGTGTATGTTTGCATAGTCTTTGACAGGGATGGTTGGCCTGCGCGCAGCAAGCAATATGCCAGCACCCAGGCCGCCCTTACCAAAAACCTACGCAAAGTGGTCGCGGGGCGCCCGCGCATGCTCCAGATTTGGAGGCAAAGTGCATGTTGTAGTGTTTTTCACACGGGATGGTGGGGGGGCTCATTGGTCCGGTTTGGCTGCTGGTCACCTGGGGACGGGATGTTTATTTACAGGGAACGGTGATGAACCCTTCCCCGAAGTGGAAGAAGGGGGATTAGAAGTGGAAGCGCCCTGACCCACTCACGCCCCAAGGAGCTGGAGGGGCTTGCTCTCGGTGCACGCGAAAGATGTCAGCGACCTCGTTCACCTCCTCCTGATCCTGCTGCTGCTCCTTTTCCGCATCTTCCATCCGCTCCTAGCGTCCAGTGTTGTCATTCATCGCTCGCTCAAAATATCAGGAGGGAAAGAAACACACAGACACAATTAATCGTAGATGTTCCAGAAAATATGGGCAAATATGGGAAGTGGGGGGGGAAAACAATAACCCAGAAACTATAGGGAAATATTGGGAATCTTTTCATTTGTGTGTATTTATTTGTGTGCCCTGGGGCCCCTTCAAAATAGGCATTCTCGGGCCTCCCAGATGCCGATCTGCTCTGGGCGCTGTTGCACCCCAAGAGTCGAGCGGTCTCCCCCTGCCTTCCGTCCTTCCTTTCCTTGGCGGCGGGCGGGGGCCCGATCTGCCAGTGCGCTCGTGCCTCGCGTGCCCGCCCACTCCTGCCGACCGAGGGGTGCTGCTGCCCCGTCTCCTCGGCGTCTGGCCCAGACACGCGCAGAGGGGGGGTGAGGGGAGGGGGGAGGGCTTCGCAGAAGCACCCCCGCTTCTTGTAGCAGGCGCGGGCCTCATCTATAGACGTGAGGCCGGCGCCTTCTGAGGAGCGGCCTGCTGCTAAGAAGCCCTCCCCCCTCCCCTCACCCCCCGCTGCGCGCGCCGCCAAACCTGGCCCGGGCACGCCACGCCGCGCGCGCCTCGTCCCACCGGGGGCGGCGCGCGCGCGCTCTCCGAGAGGTCTTGCCGCGCGTCTGCCCGGCGGGCGGGCGCCTGCAGGCCACGGCCTCCTGCTGCAGAGGCCCGCTGCAGCAGGTCTGCGCTGTGTGTGTTCGTCTCGGACTGGCGCCTCGAGGGGGGGGCGCAGGGTGCTAAATATGCACCCCTGGGGGGGGAGAAATCGTGCGCTGTCTGCAGGCCGTGTCGAGGAATCGTCCGGGGGAGCTCCCCTGGGGGTAGCTGGCTTCTCCTCCCGGGTCCGTCTCCGACGGGCCCGAGCCCCAGGGGCCAAAGACTATATGGAAGAAGACACAGGCGGCAAGAACGAACAGGCTGGGCGCCGACGGTAAGCCGCCAACCAAAGCTACCGCCGGGGAATTCGTAGAGCTTCTGATCGAGCACAGACGCCTCTACAGATGATTGCAAAAGTGATTGCAGTGATATTACGTTTTTAATCGTGGCTCGAGAAGGAAGCCGATCGTTTCGCGCTCGATTCGAAACCTCTAGATAAATAAAGTCCATAAACTGAACGCGTGCCAAAACAAATAATGCTGCAGAGTGCTGATCCATTTTAGGTCGTAGCTCGGGTAGGAGACCGAGATGTCCTCAAGCCGGAGCCCACAGAACCTCGAGGGCGTCCCAGTGCTGGACCCCGGCCTCAAAATCCCCTTTCTCCCGCAGCTCAGACCTGCGCTCCAGGACGTCATCCGGGATGGCTTGATCTTGCGTCCGTGGGTAGTCCAGCACAGGATCGCATTCATATACCTGGTGGCCAAGGGAGCCGACTATGTTTCTATCGCAGAACGCGCATTTGTCGCTGTCGGCATACCCATCCTCAAACTTTCGAAGTGGCGGCCACATGGCGGACCCATGCTTCTGCTGCTGCTGAAACGATTGGTGTGATTAAGAGTCATGTAGGTGCTTTAAATTTCGAGATCAGCCAATCAACCGAATGCGCGCCACCAAACAAGCTGCAGAGTGTGAATACTTTTCCCGTCGTAATTCCAGTCGGTGGTTGATCTCAGGCCAATCGAGGCACCAGACCAACGCTTTCGATGCTGCTGAAGCGATTTATGCCACTGCGACTTCTGTAGTTGTTATAAATCTCGAGGTTGAGTCCGTAAACCGAACGTGCTCCCCCCAAAAATGCAGAGCGCGAGTAGTGTTTCGGTCATCGCTTCGGTAAGAGACCGATGTCCGGCTTCTCTTTGCTTTCGATGCTGTTGAATCGAGTGGTGCGCCCGAGAGCTCTGCAGCTGCTCTAAGATTCGAGATCAAGTCCGTAAGCCGAACGTCAGCTGAAACATCTGTCGCAGAGTGCAGAAGACCGATCTCAGGCCTCTCGAACTTTAGAATCATGCTTTGAATGCTGCTGCATCGATTTGTGTGACGAACAGCCACGCAGCTGCTCTAAATCTCGAGATCAAATCCGTAAGCCGAACGCTCGCCAACAACATGTTCCAGAGAGCGAATCGCTGTTCGGTCACAGCTCGGATAGGAGACCGGTATTCGGATTCCCGAGGTTTTAAAAATATGTTTGATGTTGCTGAATCGGTGGGTACGACGAGCAGCTAAGAGGCTGAATCTCGAGAGCCAGTCCGTGAACTGAACGCGTGCCAAAAACACGCTGCAGAGAGGGAGCAGTGTTTCGGTCATAGCTCGGGCAGGAGAACGATCTCAAGCCACCTCGAGGCTTTCAATGTTGTCGATGTTGCTGAATCGATGGGTCTGACTAGCAGCTGTGAAGCTGGATATGAGATCAAGTCCGTGAACCGAACGCATGCCAAACAAACGCAGTGCTGAGTGCGAATATTTGTTCAGTCTTAGCTCGGGTAGGAAACCGAGCTCAGGACTCTCGATGCTCTAAACCATGCCTTCGATGCTGCTGAATCGATAGGTGCGGCCGAGAGTTCTGTAGCGGCTGTAGATTTCGAGACCAAGCCCGTAAACCGAACGTCAGCTGCAAGGTCTGCTGCAGAGTGCGAACAGTTGTTCGATCATAGCTCGGTTAGAAGACCGATATCAGGCCTCTCGAGCTCTAGAACACATGTTTTCGATGCTGCTGAATCGATTGGTGTGACTAAGAGCTCTGTAGCTGCTCAAATCTCGAGATTATGTCCGCAAGCCACACGAGCGTTAAACTCATTGTCTCAGGGCGGGTTCCCGTCCCATCATTGTTCCCCTTTTCGAAAAGTTCGGATCGACCTGATATCAAAATGGCGAACAGGAATAAGATCGGAGTTGTCCGGAAAAATACACCAAACATTACTGTCCAAACATGTTCCAACGTATTTCCAGCCACGGAAATGTCATACATTTGTCCGTCGAGATTTTTCGGGTCAACTAGCCCAGAAGTGGTCCCGTATTACTCTTAGCTTCCGCTGCTTCGCTACTTGGGGATATTTACGAGTCATCAACAGTTGCAGTTTCAATGGTTTTCCAGGGCAGTGTACTATGTCCTGTCACGTCCCATCTCAGCCTCTTCCGCTTGCTCTTGGTGCGCAGTGTCAGTGTCTATCCTGCCCAGCGAGCGGCGCGAGGCGCGCGCATGCGTACCCTGCAATGTGGGCGAGAAGGCGCGCTCTTTCTGCACCTTTGTCCGCCGACTGGAGAGAGAGTTTGACCCCCCTGGCGATTTAGTCGGACCGAGGTATAAGATCGGGGTCGGTTCGGGAGGGTATCGTACTGTTCTTCGTATTTGTTGGACGCTCCCGTGCATTCTGGGGAGGGTACCCTTGGATGTTCGGTTTGTTTTGGCCGACGGAATGTCTCATGTTCTTGTGGGATGCTCGTCTGGCCTAGGTCCGACTGTAACGGGCGTGGCTCGCGGGGGGAGAGGGGGGGAGGGGCCCGGTCATGTCACGATGCGCGCGCCAGCGCCGGCGCCGTCCGGGCATGCTTGGAATGTCAGATCCCCACACGGCGGCAGCGCGGATCGTGACATGACCAGGGGGAGGGGGGGGGGGGGAGGGGCGGGGCCCGTCACGGGCGCTATTGCGAGCAGAAGATATTAAACGGGCCTCCTCAAGGGCAGCGGCAGGGGAGGACAGGCGCAGGGGGGGGCGCATTGACCCGCATTCCCCGTTCATCGCCGACACCACCCCGCCCACAACCGTGCGGAGTTGGCATCGGTGGCTTATCGCCGATCTATCGGCGACGTGTCGCCGGCTTCAGGTCGATGGCTCCCCCCCTGAGCTGGTCCCCCCCCCCGTCGTTGCCCCTCACTCATTGCGTTCCCCGCTGTTGGGCCTCCTGGGAGGCCCTCGTCGCCACGGCCGGATTCGCCTCGGGACGTGTCTCGAGATGCTGGTCGGAACGCTCCCTCGGAGAGGGCTGGGCAGCAGCGGCAGCAGAACCTGTTGGCTCCCCTATCTCTCGGCGGCGAGCGAAGGGGGGCCGTGACAAGGGGAAGGCCTTCTCAGAAGGCGGCGGGACTTTTTAGAAACCTTCACGCTTTCTGAGAGGGTTTGTGAGTCTTCGGGGAAGGTTCAAACAACTTTTCAAAAGGCTTGGGGACTTCCGAGCCTTCTCAGAATGCCCGCTCCCTCTCATGTCCCCCCCATCGCTCGCCGCCAAATCTCAGGCCCATCTCCCGGTGAACCGCGGCTCGTGATTGCTACGTGATCAGATTCGGGCGAATGGGTCCTTTGCGCCGAAGAGCCAAAACTTTATTGGATGTGTGTCACAGTACCGCTCCACGATTGGAGCCGCCCCAGACGTCATTTTTGCTCAAGCTTTGGCTCGGCGAATGAAATCAGCGTGTTTGTTCCGCGTTGGCCCCTTCGCCGCGATCGCTGCTTCGCTGGGCGCCTTCGCGGGCTCGTGGCTGGGCTCCTTCGCGCCTGCGCCGCCGGCGCACGACCCTCTGGAGCGGGTCGGCCACTGCACCTGGGAGGAGGACGTGTGCCCTCCCTGCACCTGCCCGGCCTGCCCGGCGCGCGCGCCTGCGATCCTGGCCGACGCCGGTCGTGCCGGCCTGCCCGTCCCCCAACTGCGATGGCGGCTGGACGGGCACGTGGCTGGGCCTCGGCGGCCTCTTGTTTGGCGCGGTCGCCCTGGCAGCGGCCTGCGCCTGTCGGCTGCGGGGGGGGCACGGCCGACTTGCTGGAACTGCTGCAGGCGGCGCCAGCTTCGGAGAGTGCCCCGCTGGAACCTTCGCGCTGCCAGACCCAGGCCGTGCTCTTCGGCCTGCTGCTGGTGGCCCTCTGGCTCTGGCGTGCCCTCGCCCTCAGGGGTGGCGACGCCTCAGATATCGACATCTGGAGGCCGCGTCGCCATAGGGCGTGATGGTTGCGCGTCAGGTCGCCCTGGACATCGAGGCGCCGCAAGTGGTGGGGAATTACGACGACGACCCCAATTTCCGTTAGCATCACCGCGCGCTGATGGCGAAGCTCACAGAGGGTGCGAATTGGGCCTGTGCCACGCACGCCCACCCACGCCGTCCAGGTGATCGACTTCGCGGCGCACCAGGTGGTCCCCTTCACCAGAACGTGCCCCGTGCTAGTCAGGGCGCGCGGCAATGTACACATCGTCGATCCATTGACGGGCCGACGGGGCTACGGCGCCAGGCCACTGCCGTCGCCGCGCTGCTTGGCGGGGTGGCCCCTGCTGCCGGGGTCCGCAGGCGCAGTGGGTCGTCGCAGATCCAGGCTTGGACTCCTTTGGCCAGGCGGTCGCGGTGGCGATCACGGCGGAGCCCTTGAAGTTCACGCAGAAGGGCTCGGCTGGCTTGGCGCAGATCGACGACGACAGATGGGCGGCGGTCGAGCGCGCTCAAGCGGGGGACCCCGACAAGCGACAAGCGTTTGGAGGAGAAGCGCTCTCGCGCTGGCCGCGACCCTCGTGCGCTGGCGATCGAGCGCGACGCTCGCGGTCACCGCTCGGTCAATTTCCGCGACGTTCTCGCCGAGATGAAGGAGCGCCGTCCTCAGGGCGCGGCCTCGACGACCTCCGCGGGCTCTCTTGCCAACCGCGAGGACGGGCCATTCAGAGGGCCCTCCGCCGCTGTGGAACTGCAGACGAACATTCGGACGAGCGGGGGGGACATCTCGGCGCGCCGCGAGCGTTGGGCACGGGCCACGGCGATCGCGAGGGAGAGCGCCGCGGCTCATCATCACGGGCCGCTGATCTCGATCTTGCATCGCGTGGCGCGCTTCGATCAGGTCGACGGCTTCCAGTCGGCGGGCGCCGAGGTTCTCTCGAGGCGAGCGCTGTTCCTGGAGCGCGGCGCGCACCGCGACCAGAAGGCGCCCGACTTCAGGGCCAGGGGTCTCGAGGCGATGCTTGCTGGCCGCCAGGGCGCGGGATCGCCCGCGACCACGGGGGAGTTCGCGAAGTTCATCGCGGCGGAGCGCAAGGCCGAGGCTTTCATCTGGAAGCAGCAGAGGCTCTTCGCCGAGGACCGGCAAGAAGGGCTCACCCCGGGGGGGCAAGTCGCGACGCCAGGCGGGGGGGGGGCCCTTCCGCCCGGGCGCCGGCTGCGCCTGCGAGCCTGGCTTGCCGGGCGCGGGGCGGTGCCGCATGGCGCCTTCTCGCCCTCGGGGTGATTTCCCCCTGGCGCTGGCATCTTTGGCGCCCGGGGCCTGCGGTCGGCCGCCGTCGCCGACCGGCTCGACGCGCTGGGCCGAGATGGGCGGGGGCTGGCCGTCGCGACTGCAGCTTCGCTCAACGCGCGAGCCAGCCCCCGAGCCAAGGGCCTCCCGCCGCCGCGGAGGCCAGACCGCCACCCGCCAAGTGACCCGCCCCCTTCGCGCCAGCAGGCCATCTGGCGTTGCCCGGGGGCCCCGGCTTCGGCGGCCGGGGCCAGGCCCGACGAGTTCGAAGCGACCCCGCACGACGGCGCGAGGCTCACCGCCGCGCAGGGCTCGCGCCACGGGGCGCCGCAAAGCTGGTCGACGTCGAGGTTCGCGAGTACCTGCTGCGCCCCGAGCGCGTCGCTCTCCCCGCGGACGAGATCCCCGAGTCGCCGACCCAGCCCCGATCAGCGGCTTCTTCGCAGCCGCAGCCAGCTCGCGGGCCTTGTCGCGCGCGGGGGGGGGCGGTGTGATCACGGGTGGGCGTCTTCTTCGCGCGGAAGAAGACCGACACGCTGCGGGCGGCGCTGGGCCGTCGCCCCGCCGACGCCCCCCGCCGACGTGCCCCGCGCTAGCGGCTGGCCGCCGACAGCGCGGCGGCGTCGCCGGCCACTGGGCCCTGCCCGCGGGGGCGCGGGGGCGGCGCCCCAGCGGGCTCGTCTTCGCTGCGGGGGGCCTCGGTGGACCTCCAGGACGCCTTCCACCAGTTCCCGGCGCCGACGGCCTCGCGCGGCGTCGGCCTGAGTCGGGCCAAACTGGCCAGCGACATCTGCATCGAGTCCGTCTATGCGATCCTAAGGCGGGCCGCGACGCCGGGGTCTCTCCCGGCGCCTCGCCGGAGGCATGTTTCGGAGGCCCCTCGATGGGATGGAGCTGGGCGATGTGCTTCCGCCGCGGCGCCCTCCCGCCCGCGCGCTGGCGGGCCCAGGAGGCGCCGGGCATGTCCGCGGCGCTGCCGGGGGGCCGGCTGCCGCCGCCGCCTTTGGGCCAGCGGGTGGCCGCACGCGCGCCGCGCGTCGACGGCGCTACCCCGGGGCGCAACAGGTGCATTAAAATGGGCCCATATTTGTAAGCTTATATTTTTCGTTCATATATTCTTCTGAGCGCATTTACTGCGCTCGCGATTTTACATGACAAAGCAATGCACGCGGTAATCCTTCGGAACAACGCGATTGACATGCATGCGCGCTGCGCGACCATGGTTGTTGAAAGCGACGTGGCCACCGCCCAATCGACGCAATATTCTCGAACAGCGACAAGCGTCGCGCGACCCCTAGCGTTGCGAGGGCCCACGGGCCCTCGCTTCGCGAAAAGGCATCTCGAGCCCAAAGTGGAGAGGTGTTCGAGCCAAATGGCAACAGGTGGCGGGGCAGCGAGGAGGAGGAAGAGGGGAAGGAGGAAATGGAGAAGGATGAGGAGAAGCGAGGATGGGGGGGGAGGAGGAGCAGAAACAGCAGCAGGCAGGGGCAGGCAGACAAGCAGGCAGGCAAGCAGGAAGGCAACGGGAGGAGGCAGGCGGGCAGGCAGGCAGGCAGGCAGGCAAGCAGGCAAGCAGGCAAGCAAGCAATCAAGGAGGCGCAAGGAGGCGCAAGCAGGCAAGCAATCAGGCGCGCGCGCGCGCCCAGACACACGCACACAGACACATGTTAAATGCGCGCCACTCGCACGATTCGTGCCCCACAGGGAACTGGGCCGCAGTTGGGCCCCCCCCACCCCCCCCCCGCCTGCCCCCCCCCTCCCCATCGGGTCAGCGGATGCGTCGGTCTCTTTGGCCCAGTGTTTCAGGGGGCAGGATGCGCCGCTGTTTCCCCCCGCGCCCCCCCCCCCCCCCCGCATATAGCGATTTGGGCCCTGTCCAGTTGCGGCAGCGGCGGCCCCGCCCTGCAGGCTTCCAAGCGCTTCGCGGCGCCGTGGAGATCGACGCCTCCGAACCTTGGCTTTGCGGGCGCGGCCGAGGAGTTGCGCGACCGCCTCTGCCCGCGCGCTCAGTCCGCGGCGCGGCT